CACCAGGCGGTGGTAATGCTGCGCGCGGAAAGGAGATTCAGGTTAGGTCGGGCACGTGCTCCTACAAAGGAAGTTTATACGAAAAATAACAGATGGCCCTAGAAAATTGAGAACTGGTCAAACATACTAGAGACATCGTCCCCATACTATGTTTTGATTATTGTTGGCTCCTCCTCCTGTAGAGGGGCATGCCCGACCTAAGATTACTTGAGTTCTGGACCCCGACGGCGCTCGCGGGGGCGAAGAGACGTGGGGCACGACACCCTGCGGCCTGCAGACCTGGCCGAAGTCAGCGCGCTCTCGCCATAGGACCTGACCACGGCATCGCCAATAGTCACCCCGACGCACCTCAAATACATCCAAGAAGCTCATGACCCAAAACATGACTTCCGAGATCGTCGCAAACACTCGCTCCTTCTGGGGGGTCGGCGGACGGGCGCAAGCCACTTGAATGAAACAACACCGATGCCACTACTCCGCGGACCCCTCCTGGGGCGCGTCCTGACCGGGACTTCGAAGCGAATACGGCCGTGGCGATGGGGGAACGGCAACGGTTTATCGGCATCAGTTCTTCCTTCTAATCGTGGTTAAACCGCGGCTTCGGCGGCACCATGTTTGAGCAGGGACCGACCGTCCCGACATTCCTAGACCTACCACGAAATATACTTAGAACCCCGAAACAGGTTCGAAACACAAGAAACCACGTTCTTAGAACATAGACCCGATGTGTTGAAACAAGACGGCCCCGAGCCAGACACCTTCCGAGAACATCTCGCGCAGACCACAGGAGGTTCTCGGAGCATTCTCTGGCGGGCCTACAGGACAGCCAGGACGCTTCGCCACTGCTCGACGCATGTCAGTGTCACCCTCGCCGGCGGAGGGATGCGTGCGTGAGACCCGGCCTCGGAGAAGAACGCCGCCATCGCCCGCGGGCACCGCGCCTCGCCGGCCGCGCCCGCGGCGGCGGCGGCGGTGCCGCGCCCCGTCGCGGAGGCCCGCGGGCGCGCCCGCAGACGGACGGCGCGGGCGCGGTGCGCGGCCCGCCACATGGCGCCGATGTGGGCGAGAGGGGGGGCACGTAGGAGCAAGGGGGGGGGATATGGCGGTGGTGCGGATGATGGAGCCAAGGGGGGCCAGCAGTCTGAAGGTGGGCAGGGTGCTGCCGAGGGCGATGATGGCATGGGGGGAGCAGGAGCGGGAGGAGGAGGAGGAGGAGGAGGAGGAGGAGGAGAAGGAAGAGGAAGGGGAGGAGGAGGTGGAGGAGGAGGAGCAGGAGCAGGAGGAGGAGGAGGCGGAGTGACTGAGCCGAGGCGGCTGTGCTGTGGCTGCGCCTGCGGACGCGGTTCCTCCTCCTCCTCCTCCGCCTCCTCCCGGGGTCAAGCTCTTGCCACCGCGCGCCCGCGTGACAAGGGTGACTGGGGAGGGAACAGGAGATGGAAACATAAAGAGCGAGGTCAGGAGGAGGATGGAGAGGAAGAGGAGACGGATGAAGGGCAAGATGCTGATGCTGATAGTGATGACAACGATGGCCATGCTGATGCGGATGGTGATTATGATGATAGTGATGATGATAGTGATGATGATGATGATGATGATGATGATGATGATGATGATGATGATGATGATGATGATGATGATGATGATGACGACCCCGAGCTGCCATTGCCGAATCTCTGGTGGCAAATCCTCTTGTGCTCTCAACGCGCGGTCGCACCGAGAGCGACTCGCAGCCCAACCGGCAACTCCGGCGAGGCCGACGGCGCCGTGTCGACGGGGGAGCGGCCCATGCAGCGTACCGTCGGCCTCGATTGGACAGGACACGCGAGAGGACACCAAGACCCTTCCAAGGGCCACATCGCCATAGGAGTGTAAGAGGGCACGTGTCGCGCGGCACGGGACACAAGGGTACCCTGGAGCTGGCAGGGTTGACCTACTCATCCGGGCCGGCTGTAGCGCGACGCCAGCCTGCGCCACGGTCCGCACGCGCTGCAACCTCCAGCGACACCGCGGCGTCAAGGAGCTGGGCCGCGTGCCCGGCTGCTGGGTGGAGTCGCCCGTGCGGCTCGTGGCCGAGCGCAGCGACTTCTTTTCCCCTTAGCCGCGTGGCGCTTCGCGCCACGTGGGGGCTTCGGACCGTGACATCCCTCCACCACGCGTGCGTTGGCCTGGGCACGTGAGAACACGTGGTTCCAGCTCGGGACAGTTATGTTGGGGATCTCCCTGGGTGGCCTGGGCATGAAAAGGCACGTGGTTCCAGCTCGGGACAGCCATATTACAGACCTCCCTGCGTGACCTGGATACGTTGAATTCGCGCTCCCGGTCGAGACATCCTCGCAACGTCCTCCCTGGAGAGGTGGCAGTCGGTGCCCTGACGACCCCGTCCCAAGAGTTCGAACCTGGATCCTCGGCCCCCATTTTTCCCGGAAAGGGCGTAGGCCCAGGGTTCTCTTTTAGTATGTAAACATAGTCCCCCGTGCCCAACTTGAAGGAGGCCGGCGGATTCTTTCCCTGATAAATATCGAAGTCGAAGGAGGCCGGCGGATTAAAATTTGAGGATGTCTCAGGCGAAACGCTTGTTTTTGAAATCCCGATCGATAAATCACAGGGTGCGGGCCGCCTCAGCACGACCACACCCCAGCACGACCATGCCCCAGCACGACCACACCCCAGCACGACCCCGCCCCAGCACGCCCAGCACGACCACGCCCCAGCACGACCACACCCCAGCACGACCACACCCCAGCACGACCACACCCCAGCACGACCCCACCCCAGCACGAGCCCACCCCAGCACGACACCCAGCACGACCACACCCCAGCACGACCACACCCCAGCACGACCCCACCCAAGCACGACCACACCCCAGCACGACCACGCCCCAGCACGACCACTCCCCAGCACGACCCCGCCCCAGCACGAGCCCACCCCAGCACGACCACACCCCAGCACGACCTCACCACAGCGCGACCCCACCCAAGCACGACCCCAGCCCAGCAAGACCACACCCCAGCACGACCGACCACACCCCAGCACGACCTCACCACAGCGCGACCTCACCACAGCACGACCACACCCCAGCACGACCACGCCCCAGCACGACCACGCCCCAGCACGACCACCCCCCAGCACGGCCACCCCATCAGCACGACCACCCCCCAGCACGCACCGCACCACCACACCCCAGCACGACCACACCCCAGCACGACCACTCCTCAGCACGACCACACCCCAGCACGACCACACCACAGCACGACCACACCCAGTCGCACTCCCGTGGAATGTTTCGTGGGGTGTCTCGTGGAATGCCGTCGTCGTCCTCGTCCGCGATGTGCTTTGGTTGAGTGGTTGCCTGTTCGTGGGGTGTCTCGTGGAATGTTTCGCGGGGTGTCGCGTGGAATGTTTCGTGAGGTGTCTCGTGGAATGTTTCGTGAGGTGTCTCGTGGGATGTTTCGCGGGGTGTCTCGTGGGATGTTTCTTGAGGTGTCGCCCAGTTGGGTATCGTGAAAACGTGACCGTGCTCCACATGTCTATATCCCTTTCCGGGTTCGTGGGTCCATCATGTTTCGCTCGCCCCCCTCCCCTCAAGGGAGGAGCCCGCGGGCGGTGGGCATCACATCATCGCACGGTAAGGAGGACGCGTCAGAAGGAGGGCGAGGATGAGGAGGAGCAGGGAGAAGAGAAAGACGACGACGAGTCCCGCCCTCACTCCTTTCACGACGTGGGCACCCTGGAGGCATCGACCCCTTCTCGGGGACCATCCGTGTCATCCTGAATCGGCTTTGGATCGTCCTTGCACCTGGTGAGGGCCCTCCAAGATGCCAAACGAAATAGGGGATCGATGCAAAAACCTTCCGCCGTGGTTCGGGGGTCCCAAAGCCGTGTGGCGACAGACCCGGCGGGGACCTCGAAATCCGCAGAGACCCCACCGCAGGGGCCGTCGCCGCACCGTTCTGGGACCACGGAGGCCCCAATCGCCCGAGACATCCTGGGAGAGAGACCCAGGCCCCAAAACCGTGCGGTGACCCCTGCGCCCTTCCACTCCCCACTCCCTCCTCCTCCTCCTCCTCCTCCTCCTCCTCCTCCTCCTCCTCCTCCTCCTCCTCCTCCTCCTCCTCTTCTCCTCCTCCTCCTCCTCACTTCTCCTCCTCCTCCTCCTCCTCCTCCTCCTCCTCCTCCTCCTCCTCCTCCTCCCGGAAAGGGCATAGGCCCAGGGTTCTCTTTTAGATGATTTACCCCCCGGTTTCGACTTGAAGGGGGCCGGCGAAACTATTCTGCGTAAATAACGAGGTAAAGTGTTGATTGTCATTCGAAAAAGTACGTTTCGCGCGTGCCCGCTCGAGGAAAGTGCGCCCCCCATCTCGGATCCTAACGGGGTCCCAGCGACTCAGCACACGGTGTGGTCGCTGTCCCGCTTGAGGACGCGGGCCGGCAGGTGGCGGGCATGCCCGAGAGAGAGAGACAGAGAGAGAGGGCAGGGCGAGGAGGACCGACGAGCAGGGAGGAGGCGACTCCAGCCGTGGCGATGAGGGACGCCCAGCGGTATTGTCGGGTCGGGCGAAAGGGGGGGATAGCAAAGGGGGGGTTTGAGAATCAGCTCACGTAGCTGATTTTCCCGGCGCCTCCCCGCGCCATCGGCGGCCATGTATCGAGGAATGGGCCCCTCGGTGAGGCCGAAACCGTATTGGTACGTATCTCTCCTCGTCTGAGGGCAGGAGCCCCTTCCCCCTCCCTGAGAGGCAAGGTTAGGGGGACCTGCGCAGGAGGAAGAAAACATTGACACTGAATCGACGAGACATCCCCGCCCCCCTCGGTGGCACATCCACAGGGTCGTGGGCGGGGTGGGCTATCGGTCCCCCTGTCGGCGACGAACAGGCGAGAAGGGTCGATGCTTCCTTCCCTGAGCTTTTCTTCTCCCTGCCGTTGCCACTCAGAGTCCCTCCCCCCTCCCCACCCCCTCCCCACCCCCTCCTGGGAAGAGGCCGGCGGGCCGCGGGCAGGCCTGGGAGAGCAGCCGCAGGAAGTGCCAGGAGAAGCTGCGCCGCAGCTCCGCCGCCGTCGCGCCTGTGCGAAGAACGGCGCGGTTGCCCGGCTGGCCCGGCCCGCTGGCCACACGGGCACTTTGACCACATGGGCCTGGACGCTCCTTTTCCTCATCCCTTCTCCTTCCTCACTCCTCCTCCCTTTTCCTCATCCCTCGCCCACCTCTTACTCCTTCAAAGTACTCGCCCTGTCCAAATCTCCCATCAAATTTCTTCCTCCTTCTCCGCCTGCTCCTCCTCCTTCCCCTTCATCATCCTACTATGGTTCTTCTTACTCCGCCCAATCTTCTCCTAAACTATATCAAAAGAGGGGGCCAAACGGTCGCACACTGTCCCTTGGTGCGCCGCCGGAGTGGGGCTCGCGCTGCGGATTAATGTTGTTTGTCGTCGTCGTTGAACCGTCACTCCCGAAAGAAAACTATCATTGTTCCCCCCTCATCAGTGCCAACTGTGATTTGTCAACTGAAGTGGCTACCCCCGGCTGTCGCAACTGTTTTTTTTGGTCCCATGACGTATTGATGCTCAAACTGTGCTGTTCGGCGGCCAGACTACTACAACAACAATTCACGACCGAGGTTTCCTCCGATCTTATTCGGGAATCGTGCTGTCGCTATATTCCACAACTAGCGCTTGCAATTCGGGTGTCTCACTTGTCTTCTAAGGAACTGGGCTTGTCTGCCGCTCTGGCGACCATGTCGTCGCCGTCGCCGCCCGGTTCCGGCCCCATCGCCACCCGTCGCCACCCCGCATTCTTGTCATTTAAACGATGCTGTTCACGGGATCCTACGTGCCATAGCTGAAGGGGGGTCAGGCGGCGCACGCATGCACCGTCAGGCTAGCACGAATACAAACCAACAACAGGAATATCCGACACAGCAGCGGAACGTGAGGCGAATCCAGACGAGAGCGAGCGTGGGGCCGCAAGCCCCAAAGTTATGTTCGAACGTCCCCGCGCGGGCCCAGCACGAACCCGAAATGGGCCTCCAAAATATCGGCACCTGACCTGGCATTCCAGGTGGCCCTCCAGGCCCAGAAAGTGCACGTGCGGAAACCCCCTCGAGAGGAGGGTGGGCGGAGCCGAAATCTCGTGGACAGCAGATTGCTGGATTGCGCGCGCGATGAACCTGGCGGCTGTCGCGAAAGAGTGGCGCTGCACTCGCAGAAACTGTAAAGAACAGTCATACAGGCCGGCTGAACTAAAAAGCGGTGATCTGCACGGGCACCAGGTGAGGCAAGGTCAGCACAGCACGAATGGACCCCCGCATCAAAGCGGACGGGACGCGTCGAACCGAAGGAAGGAATCCGTACCTCCCTCCCTTCTCTCATGATACCCCATCCCCCGCAGTCAGTGGCGACGGACGGATCAAGACATACTCTGCTCGCGTGCCGTGCCCTACACGGGCATTGTGGAGGAGGGGCGGAGGGAGGGACTAATGAGTGACAGGGAGAAAGAGGGCTGGGACACAGACCGGAATCTTCCTGCTCTCGTGACAAGTACTAAAGTTTGGGAGAAGGCTGGGACACAGACCGAAACTCTCCTGTTCTCGTGATGTCGTGACATCTCGTACCTGAGCGGGGAAAGGACAACTTCGCACCCTTGCGACACGGACGAACGACGACGGCGGAGGCAAGCAGAGGCGATAACCTTCGCTCTAAAATCTTTCCTCTGAGAATCGGGCTAAGATGCCAAAGGGATTAAGGTCTCATGATCACTGCGCTCAGTGGTAGAGGGTATGGGATGAGACATCGATGAAACAATCTGTTCTCCGTTAAGCAAACGCACTCAAATATAGGAAAGGAGGAGGCCAGCCGGCCGACGCACGGACGCGGACGCGCAGCAGCACGCTCCTTATCTCACTCGGGTAGCAAACAGCTGCAGAATGCAGCAATAATAACGTCAAGGTATGACAAGGCAGGCAGCAGGAGAGGCAACTATATGATGAGGCGGAGAGGAGCATATTTACTCCCCCCGCGGCGGGCTACGTAGAGCAACTCCAGCCACAGCCCACCCGGCTTGTACATATATACAGCCACCGGAGCGAACCCCAAAAGCATTTTACCGCGCAGCGGTGGTTGCCAGGGGGCTAAGGGCAGAAAAAACCCGACGAATCCCAATAATAATTAAAATAAAGCCTCTCTCACCGAAACGACTGGGTCGTTCGACTACCGCCAAAACGACTTGGTCGTTTGGCTCGCATCCTCACTCGCTCGTTGTACCAGGAGGACTGCGAGCGTGAAGGCGGGGCAGGAGGTCTCGGAGTTGAAGATGAAGAACCTCCCCATCTGTCCAGCTGTCCGATGAGGCGCAGCAGATTTGCCTCCCTTGCCAGGGCCAGCGCATGGAGCTGGCCAGACGTTCTTGGACTTGCCCTTGCTCTTGGTGTACCCCATGCCCTCGTCTCTCGAGAGGTAGCGGGTGTAGTCATTCGGGAACGCAAAGTGCCACACACGATTGTTGCCCTCTCTGGGTTGCTACCAGTGCACGAGGTCGCGGTGCACCCAGTATCCCGCCACCTCGCCGGACGCGGAGCGCTGCTGGTAGTGGCGCGCGGGGTTCCAGGCGCCATCGTCGCTGCCGGCAGCCATGGCTCCGCCGCGCCCGCGCGCGGTCATTGGCCGATCCCACGTGTCCCCGTCAGAAGAACGCCTCGAGAACTCCCCACCCGCCGATGCGGTTTGACCGCCGGCGGAGTAAGGAGACTCAGTGATGTCATCACTGGCCCGAGCGTCTTGGACGCTGGGCGGTCTAGGCGGGGCAGGTGGGGCCCGACGGCCAGCAGGGCTTGGCCTTGCTGGCGCGGCAGGGGCCGCCTCCAAACCGGCTGGGCCGTCGGAGGGGTCTTCAGCGTCTCGTTCTTCACGAAGACGCTTCTCTTGCTGCAACTTCGCGTATCTCACAATGCCCGTCGCGGCAGTAGTCGCATAGGCGCCGTATTCCCCACTGGCAGTGCGAAGTGGGCCTTCGTCACTGTCCTGTTCTTGGGTAGATGCCAAGAATGGGTATAAGAGAAAAGACAGCTTCTTGCAACTTCACGCCTTGGCGACGGAGCTCGGCACGACGCTGAGTGCAAAGATCGCGAGACCACGCCTCCATGAGGTCGTCGGTATTGACAGCCGTACGAATACGGCGGTCCAGCGCATATGCGTCGACGCGGCGCTGTTCAGCGCCATGCCCGTCGTCTGTGAGGCGAGCATGGAGGCCAGGCGTGGGATATGCAATGTGATATCCATCGGCGAAGGAACAACTGATGATCTCGCGGGCAATCACAAACACACGCATGACGCGGAGGTCCAGGTCGAGCCCCCCGAGGGGAACCGTCCAATTCTGCTCAATGGCCTCTCTCACATCTGCGGGAACCACATGTTTTAACTCTCCCGTTAGGCGCGACCTATCGGTCTTGCCCGTTCCCGGGTTGTGGCACATGTGCTCCATAACATACTGCGCGGCGACAGTAATGGCTTTCTGCGTCGTCGTGGCGACGCGCAGTGTGCCATCGTCGCGTTGAGGGTTCACCTGTCCGTCAGGCGGATCAATGGTTATCGTCCCCTCAAGCATCTGCTGGGTCTGCGGCCCGCAGACGGCGGTGAAATCGAGGGGCATCGGATCAAGCCTTTCATCTCCTGTCGTCTCGGCTTGGCCCGCGACAGGTTTCACAACACTAAGAGGATGCCCGGAGCAAATCTTGCTGCGCCTGGATACTGACCTGGATCGGCGGGCAGGGCGAGCAGTGAGGTGCTCCGCCCAGGCAACAGGCGGACGTCCACGAGGGCTGGGCCCTGTGGCGCCCGCGCCAGTATCCTGTGCATTGGGCATCCAGGCCGCTACTCCAGCCTGTGCATTTCGCACCGTCTGGAGAGTCGGCACAAAGGTTCCTGTCCTTTCCATATCGCGCCCCCACACTTTTTAACCTCCATGGGGGAAAATACGCGATTCATCTTCGTCTGGCCAGTCAAAAGCAGCCAGCGGAGGACACGAAAAGGGGAGCGCGTACTGATCGATATCTGTGGCCCAAATTAGGGGCCACCACTCTGCCATCGTTAGTTCGCGAACCCGTGCTCTCTCTGCCAAAAACGCCAGCCACTTTATGAACCTCCTCTTGGGAGGTTCAAGGTACTGGAAGAAAGGTCCGCGGCGCGCCGGCGGCTGGGCCGCGGCGCTGTCAGGGGCCCAGGCAGGAACACTGCCAGGGCGGCTGTTGCCAAAAGTTTGACATGCAGCAGCCATCGCGGTGTATCGACCGCTCGCCCACTTACGCTCCATCTTCAAGTTGTTACTGATGTTCGTCATGATATCCGCTGACGCTTTGCCCTGCCTTTCTCGTCTCTCTTCAATGTGCCGATCTTGACGGCGGGGCAAATTGGCGTAATCATGAACGGTCAACTCGAAGACATTATACCACAGTGAGCGCTCAATGGTCCGCGACAGGGATGACTGGAGCAAGCTATTGTGCGCGACCATGTATTGGCACTTCACTGCGTTATTGCAAAAGGGGCAACGGCCGAAGCCCGCACGCACCCAATGCAGTTCAGCGCAAAGGAAACGACCATCGTCCTCCCGCGGGACTGACCAGATGAACTCATCTGCCCTGTCAGGCCAGCCCTTAAAGCCTGGCCGCAGCGTCACCGTCTCGTCAATGTGAATCCACGCAAGCATGGAATTCTCGTCGAAATCCACCTCATACGAGGTCCACTCCTGACTGACGACAAGGGCCCAAAAAGTCAACAGTTGGTTCGCATGTAACCAATCCGCTACTGTGGCAAGCGTGGCAGCTTTGTCTATGTCGGTGAACCTTGGCACCTGATGGGACACCAGGGTCCCGTCGCGGCAAACCCGGTACGAACATCGGGTAAGAAGACGGCCATTAAAGACAAGAACAAGCGGCGAAGAGGCTCTGTGCGTCAAAAGTTGGTCCCACAGACGGACTGTGACCACTGTGGGCGATGACCCAATCGTAAAAGGTTGTCCCACCTCGGGGGCTTGGCCCATTTGGCGGTACTCTGTCGCACGGGCACTCTCACCAT